CCCCAAAACCCCAAAACCCCAAAACCCCAAAACCCCTTAATCTAGAAGAAGCATTGAAATAACAGAGATATAATATTTAAAAATCAACATGGATAGTCTGAAACATCAGAAATTAGAAGAGGATCAACCTTATGATGGGGCCATACAGCAAATTACACCAGCTCCAGAGCATTTTGTACCCCAAGGAATGCTAGATTTCGAAAGAAAAGACGAAATTAAAGTGGTCTCGAAGCCCCATAGAAGGAGAGGGCTCGCAGCGTTACTCTATTTCGGACTCCAAGGGACTGTATTATTTGGGTTATTACTTAACTACGACCTCTTTAGTGGATTCTCTAATTTAGTCTTGTGGAGTCTCACCATTGTCACTTTTGTTGCATATTTCAGAGTTTCATTCTCAAACCCTGGATACTATGATGGAAATGTCATTATTCTTGAAGACCATGAGAACGAACTTAATGAGTACGACATAAAAGCAGCTAAGGAAGAGAAACCTAAAGGTAAATCATTGCTTTATTTGTAGACAAGAAGAAAACTGTAAAGACTTCGGTGCTTACCAAAGGATTTGTGAAGCATTCCAGAATGGTAAAGTCTAACCAAGGACTTGCAGAAGCCTCACGCCACATCAGGACTAATTCACTTGGAAGTACCATAATGACCCAGACTAATCAATATAATTCTAACAAAGGGTATGCCAGACTGAGTGATCACACTCTGAAATCTGGAGATTTTAGCAAGATTAGAACCGAGATGGAAGATCTAGATTTTTCTGAAACGAACCATTTCACTGGAAAAAGTCATCACCGTCGTAAAGCTAGTTTAATTAAGAAGGTAAGGTTATTATATTACCTATGTAGATAGGAGCAATTCATGCTTCGAACCTCAGTGAGTTAGACTCGCAATCAGATATCAACCAGGAGAAAAGCAAAGCCTTTAACCTTATTGCTGATAGGATTGCTAACAGTAAAGCAACCGTTGAAACAGAGCAAGTTGCTCCTTCAACTCCTCCAGGCCACGATACAAATGGAACGTTTCACAGGAGGACCAACTCAAACGAGGGTATTTATGCAGCTTAAACTCTAGATGATGACAAGGGTGTCTTCAAGTCTTTCAAGGATGGAGATGAGCACACGGAGAACAAGCAGATCCCTCTCGCTTCTAATGCCATCACCAGCGACACTGATAATTTGGCATCTAATACCCAGGGAGGTGTCAAACGTATTCTTGACGAACCGAAGGATTTCGAAGCGATTAAAGAAGTAGATGAAAATAATGAATCTTTTGACGCTAGAAAGCATTTTGATGAGATTTATGATTCTAAGCCACCTGTTCCAGAGGTCAACTTTCATAAGAGGATTGTTAGTGACGGAGATTATGCTATTGATTTTAAGAGACAGCATTATGGAAATAAACTCCAAGAAACAGACTCTGCTGATGATGAGAAGAATGAAGACACTTGTGAAGGGGATTTAGAAGCAAATGATATCCATATGATCTCAGTGGATAACCGATTTTGCATTTCCTGCAATGCGGAACAGCCTCTGAGGACGAAGCATTGCAAATCCTGCAGGAAATGTGTTTCTACATATGACCATCATTGTCCATGGGTCGGAAATTGAGTGGCTGAAAAATAACAGGAGATTTTTCTATGTATACGTCTGTTTACAAATAGCTCAAGCTATCTATGGATTGATGTACACCATCTACATTATGACTCAAATCTCGTACGATAGCTTTGGACTAGACAAATTGATGCTATTTTTGTCGTTATTTGGGGAGCTCTTCTTCACTATCATGTTATCGTCTCTGATATCTTTCCACACTTATTTGATGGTGAATAACTTGACAACCTGGGAAACCCTTTCATGGAACAAGATCTCACACATGAAGGTGTGGCCGAGGAAGTACGGTTCCCCATTTGACAAAGGGTATAAAGAAAATATTAAGCTATATTTCTTGGGCCATCACAAGAAGGGAGCTATTAAGTGGCAAATGCCAACCAGTCTCCCTTCAATTAACCAAGGAGAGAAGATGATTGAGAAGAGAAAGTACTCTTACATGTTTGAAAAAGTATTCATCAAGTGACAATAATTTTTAATTCAACCTAAGTACATAAACTCGGGGTTTTGGGGTTTTGGGGTTTTGGGGTTTTGGGG